TCGATTTCGTATCTGGTTAGCCGTAAGAACGGCTTCCCCCCACAAGTTCTGTGGCAACCCAGAACTTATCAACAACGCGTTCATCATCTCCTTTAATGAGCGATTCTTTCTTTCAGCAATCCCATTGGATTGGGGCATGTAAGAGACCGTTGTTTGATTAATAATTCCATATTCTAAACATATTTGTTCAAAAGGAGATTCATATTCACCACCCATATCACTTCTTATCATTTTGATTTTCTTGTTAAGTTGTGTTTCAACTTCATTTTTGTATTGCTTGAATACGTCTATTGCTTCATCTTTACTATTAAGTAAGTAAACATAGCAATATCGAGCTTTCCACCGTGAGATGGTATTGACTTCATGTCACAAACATCTGTGTGAATTATGTCTAAGGGATTTGAATTCCTTTCAACTGACTTATAAGGATGTTTAACATACTTAGATTCCACACATATTTGACATTTTGATTTGTTACTTTCAAACTTAGGCAATACTTCCAAGTTAATCATTTTCTGTAAGGTTTTATAATTGACATGACCCAAACGTATATGCCATAATTCATTTGACTCAAGTATGTAGGATGAAGCTGAAATTTTATTATTATTCTCAACAACCATTACATTCAGCTTGAAAAGACCCTCAATGAGGTAACCTTTTCCTACAAACATTTTATTCTTACTTATTACAACCTTATCGGATACAAAAACACACTTAAAACCATTCTTAACAAGAAGTCCAGCAGAGACTAAATTTTTCCTAATCTCGGGAATATGAAGGACGTTGTCAAGGTCATCACCTTGCCAGAAGTCATTTTCAGAAAGATCTTCCCACATCCTTCAATCTTGGCCGTTACAGCATTTCACATGAGCATATGTAGCAGAAGCTTCCCTAATAGCACAAACATGGTGAGTGGCTCCCGAATCAATCCACCACTCCTTAGGATTTCCCACAAGGTTGCATTCAGAAAGCATAACACACAAGTCATTAGCATCTCCATGCTTTTCAATCATGTTTGCTTGACCCTTCTTCTTGTCTTTCTTTAGAGCACGACACTCTGTAGATTTGTGTCCGGCTTTTCCATAGTTGTAGCAATTTCCATATCCCACATCATTCATTCTTTCTTGGGTTGCTTTTCAGTCCAGAATCCTGCTTCCTCTTTCTCTTATTTTGAGAAGTATCCTCAACAATGTTTTCTCCCATTATTGTTGAGTTTCCACGGCTTCTCTTTTCAACGTCTTCGTTGTCCTCTTCAATTCTCAACCGAACAACGAAATCTTCAAGAGACATCTCCTTGCATTTGTGTTTCAAGTAGTTTTTGAGGTCTTTCCACAAAGGAGGCAACTTCTCAATCATCGCTGCTACTTGGAATGCTTCATTTATGACAAGACCTTCAATGAAAATTCTGTTAGTATAAATACTAAAATTACTACTTTCAACATAAGAATTAATTTGATTTATACATTCAGCAAGGAGATCGTAAATAATCACTTGCAATTCCTGGACTTGGGTAATAACAGACTTGCTATATACCATATTGTAGTCCAAAAATTTAGCAGCAACGAATTTCTTCAACCCGGCATCTTCAGTTTTGTATTTCTTTTCAAGCGCAGTCCACAATTCTTTTGACGTATCCACACCACTATAGGCATTATACATATCGTCCTCCAGTCCGTTAAGAATATAATTCTTGCACAGAAAATCAAAATGCTTCCACGTCTCAATCACAAGAAAGCATCATTCTCTGGAGTTTCATCAGGTAGAACAGGAACATCTTCCTTGATGAACTTCTGCAGACTTAAATTAGTCAAGTAGAAGAACATCTTCTGCTGCCACCGCTTGAAATCAAGGCCGAAAAATCTTTCGGGTTTTTCCGCCAGTGCCAACGCCGGTGTTCGGCTTGTCACCATTGGAACAACTTGGTTTCCGTTATCATTAGTCATTTCTGTAAAAGAATGACACAAGCACACATTAAAATCACATAGATTTTAATCTCCAACGGAGTAGAAAACCACAAAGGTTTTAATCTCCAGAACAGTGAAAATAACACAAATACAGAAGATAGTTAAATTCCTTAAACTTGTTAGTAAAATGTATTTGTAAAATAATTTTGGATAAAATAAAATAACATAAACAGAAATATAAGCGAAATAAAAGTTAATCCGAGCCCACTGAATTCATAGTGTGTTACACCCCATGTTTTCGTACGTTGAAGTATGCCACAAGTAAATCGATATAAGATCGAAAATGTGATGTTACATCCCGTATTTTTGTAAGCTGAAGTTTCATTGTAAGTTAATCGACGAAAGTTCGGGAATGAAATTTATTTTAGATTATAAGTATTACGCTATTTCAAAAGAGTGATAAGTTAATTCGTAAAGTTGAGAGGATAAGCGAATCGAAGGAAATGAATTCCGTTAAAATTTGGCATTTTGGGATAAAATACGGCCCGAGCTAAATACCTGATATTTATGGACTAGTACCATACAACGTACCACATGTCCATGGTAGTAAGGTGCATGAAGTATGTTAGAAGTGAGTAGTATTATAAGTAATTTGGAATATTTTTTAATTATATGGGTAATTAGTTAATTATTAAATTAGTGAGAGATTAACAAAGTTAATTATGTTATTGATAATCTTAAAGCCAACAACGTGGCAACATTGCTTGGTCAATTTAATGACTATTGAAAACATATGGTAAGGTGGCACAATTAAGATGACTATGTGGCTTAGTCATAGAAAGAGTAGGGTCCACTCTCTTTAAAAAAAGACACATCTTCCTACATCATAAAAGATAAATGTCAATGTTTACTTAGTAAGGGAATTTGGAGCTTTTTTGATGTGAGCTCATGTCCATTTGGAGCCAAAACAAATGAAGTTAGTTCTCCATCTGAACATTTTAAGGTTATACGCAAGGTTATTTACACCTTTTTACACCCTTTTATATTCTTACCTAGACAGAGAGTAGGGATGGATTTCCATCACACCAATATTTGATTGAATCACAAAAATAAAAGGAATCCATCATCATACTCCAGTTTCCATATATGTATCAAACGAACATTTCAAAGGGAAATGCAAATTCAAAGGAAACCCGGTACAATTTTTCTCAAGAATATCATACGGATTGTTCCTTATTTCGATCTTGCCATTACGTGTTTTGTCTCAATTAACTTGTGTTAGAGGGATTGCCAAGAGAATCGACCAAGGTATGTTAAGGCTCTCCTTTCTTTCTGTTGGCATGATCCATATGGTACTAATGAAACGTGCAAATGCACAAATTCCATAAATGACTTTATTCATAGGAGTATTAGAGATATCTATGTTCTTGAATTTCCATGTGTCATAATATTTTATCATCTGTTCATGGNACATTAGAGGAACCCGATTTTGCATCTTGCTTATGATGAGTAAATGTGAGGTCTTCGGAAGATCATGCATGTACTAAAAGGTGTAAGGTTCTTGATAAGGAGCTTTAAGGAAATAATACTTATCCACTTTTACGGTAAAAAGGAATAACAGAATCGGAAGTTAGACACAAGTTTCAGCAAGTAAAAGAAGCAAGGTGAATAAGGGTATAAGGTACCCAGTTAATAAAGATTATCATTATTTACCATTCAGGAAGGGAGATATAAACATTTTGAGTTACCTTCAACAGTAACAGATGTACGTACAATCAGCCACACTTATCTCAATCATGCCCTATGGGAGCTAACGGATATGATTTAAGAGAAGGATGGGATAGCAGGATCCGACTGGGGTTAGAGTAACCCAAAATGATGGATGGATGGTTTGCGCTAATTTACATTTCGGAAGGATATTAAAAAGGTGATAATAGATCTCCTTATAAGATACCTAGATGGTGCACTCTAAAATAGTACAGCTAGACATGAGTACTACAAAGACAGGCACTGGAAGCCTGAAAAGAATAAATATTATCTTAGTTTGGCTCCCGTCCCTAGTAGAGAGATAATGCTAGGCAACCCAAAGATCCAGTGGATGGTGCAAATGGGAGCTGAAAGCAAAAGAATATCTTGTTGAAGTTTTTAGAATAAAGTAATAGACAGAAATGCTCTCAGGAAATAAGAAGAGAGCTAATGAAGCATTAAGAGTAAGATGTGATACATGGATGACAACTGTAGGCCAAAAAGATAACAGTATTTTAGAGTCAATAGTCAAGTGAAGGAAAAGATGAGAAGTGACAAGCCTTGAGATAACAAAAGAGTATAGGCCATAAAGTCATATCCTCACTTCGAGAAAAAGGTTCGCAATGCTAACGTGATTCAGAAGAAAAAGTTAGACCTCAGGGTAATAGAAGTCATCATGGGCTGGTGGAAAAAGATAAACTAAACATGAATTAGGGAATGAGTGATTTGATGGTGGTCGGCATCATGAGAACTTCATATTGCGTTCCGGCGATAATAGAATGGACAACAGAGGAAGATTTATGAGAAACTCAGAGAATGGTTATTCAGGAAAACGCTTCCCAAAAGCAAGCAATGTGAGCAAAGTTAAGCTTAAGGGATTGTATGTGCCAGTTACACTAAGTATCACCCTCATGAGTGAGGAATTTTGTTATCATTGGTATAGAAAGATTGCCGCAAGGCGAGTAAGGGACATCGATGTTGTGAAAAGACACCAAAGATGAAGAGGTAACACATCTATAGGTAGATCCTCACGGCTTCAACTCTTAGTACTCCCCTAAAGGGGGTGTGAGCACGTGATTTTTGCTTCACGGAAAACTACTCCAAAAGAAATCGAATATATATATATATNGGTACATTCAGAAATTAATTAACCATAATTTGGTTAAAAGAAAATCAAAAAATATATGCATGTATGTTTCTTGTCATTGAGTGATTTTATTTAAATTTATGTGCTAATTATTATAGGTGTTAAATAATATGTGTGTGATTTTATTATTGATTCTACAATTTTTTTTAAAGATTTTTGTTTAAATTTTGGTAATCCTAAATGGGTAAAATATCAAGGGAAACCTGTTTTGGGCCAGGTAGAACCAAATTTTCAAGCCCAATCCGACCATATGGATCCAGTCCAAACCCAGGCTGCCCAGGCACGGCCTCAAACGACGCCGTATTAGCATCCCCATTCTGAGCCATCGATTGATTCAAATGAACGGCCCAGATCAGGCCATTCACTTACCCAAACGACGCCGTATAGGGCCATCTGATCTCAACCGTTAACCCAACCCCATCCAACGGCCTCAAAACATCCCCATATGCCCGATCCATATAACCCCGGACCAACCTGATCCCCTCTTAAGTGGAACGACACCGTTCTACATTAGCCAAGAGATCCTGGCCATTGATCACTCTCTGTCCAACGGCCAGGATCAAGCCACCCCCCTCTTGTTTAAAATGTTGTTTCAATTTGTCAGCATGTTTGGTTAGCTTGTTTGATATTTCGAATATTTAGTTTCCAATTTGTTCTCCGTCTTCGTAAGACCTTTTATGTCGTCGATTGTTCTTCTGTGTATGTTTGAATACGTTTTGTGATATACATGCTCGAGTTAATTAATGTCGTCAGTCATATAGATTCCCTATGTCATGCAAAATGGTTGAAGACAGTTAATGCCCCGTTCATGTCATTTGTTTGATCGACTGATTATTCTACGTCATGATTAGTATAGTCGATTATATAAACGTCGTCGATTAGCTTTATAGGATTGAATGATCAAACATTCTGATTTGTATAGCTATATATGATTGTTTCGAACCATTGTCGCTTAGCTGGTGTTTCACACTATCTGTGAATGATTCATAGTTGCAGTGCACTAGCTGGAACTCAGCTAGGGTGGTTTAAGTTTGGACTTTCAGAAAGTTTAAACTCAGACTGCCAAAGCTCAGGGTAAAACAGTAATAGCTGGGGGGCTAACGGGGGTAGTTTGGGGGTTTGAAAAGAGCAAAAAAGGATTAGTTTAAGTTGAGTTGACAGTAGGGTACCATAATAGGTTTAAACTAAGGCAATAATGGGGAACACGATTAAATGGCATGTGGGAGGTCAATTAAAATAAGTAGACACCCATAATTTTGATTAAATACTATAGGCTGCCCATACCTTTGGGCAGAAAACACATGCTAAGGGGGCTGTCAAGAGGATGGGCTTTGGGGGAGCTTTAATTAGTTTAAAGGAGTTATGGGTAGGAAAAGGCTGAAGGAATGAAGACAGCCTGGGGGCCTGCCATTTCTGCCTATAAATAGGCTTATTTAGAATAAGAAAAAGGGTCTTCGAACTGGGAGAAGTCAGTGAGTATTGAGAGCATAGGCTTGAAAATTATTAAGTGTTTAGAGAGAAATAAAGCGGTTAGTTTTAAAGGGTTTGGGCTGTTACTATTTCATTAGTGTATTCTGATTTCTCTGTGGGATTACTACCGTATTCTGGGCTTCTGTTTGCTGCTGATTGATTCTGGTCTTATTGCTATTGAAGCTGTTGTTGGTTATTCGTCGAGTTGTTATGATTATTGTACTGCTGTTACTATTGCATTTGAATATTCTGGGTTTTTCTGCTGGTTTACCACTCTGTTCTGGGATTGTTGGTTGGGGCTCGACCACCTGTGGGTTTATCGTTGGTGAAACTGCTATTGGTTGTTCGTGAACTAGTGGTCATACTGTTGCTGTTTGTTGTTGTTGTGTTACTGTTGTATTACTGCTGATATCATTCTTCTTCTTCTCGTTCTTATTGTCCAACATCCAGGTACACATTCTAATTTCACTGGTGTAATGATGAACTTGGAGCATGAATAAGAGTATAAGAAGAATTGCAGTCTGAATTAAGTGTAGTGATTTTTATCTTTTTGTTGTTTGCAGTTTAGAACATTCTGTATACCCGACATGTAAAGTTTGACCTCCAAACTGTGTAATGGAATAGTTTTCAGTCTATAAGAGTTTGGTCTAGTAATTTGTCGGTGTATGTTAATCAAGAAGAAACTAATGGTGTAGTAGTGATGTTCGGCCAACAATGGTTTCACATAGGGTCGGTTAAGAATGACAATGCAGTAATCGCGTTTGTTTCACCTTGGTTCATCAGTAGATAATATATATTTCAAAGGCATGCTAGGCAGTTTGGATTATCGCAAAAGATAAAAATCGCATAGGTCATGTTATTGGATAAATGTCGCCTGAAACATGTAGTGGTATCACCTAAGTTAGATAGGGCCAGTTTCAGTCTTTTCGCTTTTAAGTGTTAAGCGTGTATGGAATAATTAACTGAAGCTCATACGTATGCCCATCGATGAACAAGGTTGCCATATGCATGTCTACGTTTGATCCAATCAACTGGTTATCACATTTTGCGAGTAGGTAATTGAAAAGTACTTCTCGATTGTTTTATTCCAGAGACGGATTTGATAGAGAAAATGTAGTCATTTTAGGATATCCTTTTAAAATAAAAATGAGACGAGCCTCGCCAAATAAAACGCGTAGATTGCGGGGCCCTCACAAAATGTATTGCTTTAATTATTTAGCCTTCGGGACGAGCCGTTTAGCAAATTTCACGGTTTTCCCAAAATACCAATACGTTAGTCTCTTTAGGACGCGCTTTAATAAATCTTACCTTCTTAAACTCGGGTGCACATTTATGTGACCCAAATCCAAATCTCAACAGAATCGAAATGCGTCTCTAATCACGGGTACATTGATTGTGACGTGGTTCGAGATGCGTGTCCATGACGTTGCAAATTCCTTTCAAAAAATAAGAATGAGAAGAGCCTCGCCAAATAAAAATACAAAATTGCGGGGCCCTCAGTAAATATTTGCTTTAAAATTGCTTAGACTTCGGGATGGACCGTTTAGTAAAATTCCACGGCCCTACCCAAAGTAAATGATACGCTAGTC